GTCATTGATGCTTGCATTTGTATATTCAAACATTTCATATGAAAGATTAGCATAGTAAAAGATTTCTTATAGAGATATAAAAAACCAACATGCATATCAATTTTCTTTTTGTGGGTTATAGTTTAGAAGTGTGATTGTTCAAAGATTATCTTTAGATAACTCATTATGCTATTTTAATAATTTTCTTTGGTTCAAGCATTTGATTAAGATGAATAGAAGAAAAGATGATGCGTTCAGGTGGCAAGAACAACCAACGAAAAGGTTCAAAAATTCCTTTTATTAATTTTAATTGCTTTCATTAGTGGCTCTTTCATGAATATTTGAATATTTAATTATTAATAGTAGAAATAGAAAAATAGAGAATTTATTTTCACTGTCTGACCGTTCGTTCCTGTCTTGGTTAATTCCAAACCCCATGCCTAGTCGTGACATATATGTTGTATGTATCATGTTGGTATTCTTTAGTACATATCATAAGATAAATACACATTAAATTGTGCACATGTTGCATAATAATAGATAAACATGTGTTCTAATTTACCACAAAATTTACATCAAATGTACGGTTTTGGGTGGTGACTATGTTGAGTTGATAAACAGATAATTTGCATGATAAACATGGATAACATTTATCATTAGATGTTTTATATAAATTGATAGTGATCATTTATATGCTATAATAAAAATTTACAAATAAAAAAAGCCTTAAAAAAAATTCTCATATTTTTAATTTGAGATATAAAATTGAAACACAATCACAAATTGTATATTTAGGCTTTAAAGATAACATATTTATTTTAGACACGTTATAATGTATATTTAGATTTTTTATGTTTATTTTTATAATTTTAAATGCTTTTTATTTAATTATTTATATTTTTAAGTAAATAAAAAAATGCATTATCTAATTATTTATATGAAACTTATTTTCACATACCTGAGTATTAGAGTTCTCCACTCTAGTCATAAATCACATGTTTACCTCTTTGTTATAATTTATAGAGGAAGAAGTGAATTTATTGCTAATTAAATTGATTTATAAAGCATTTCTTCTTTCTTTTATTCTTCTTATAATTTCTCTCTCTCCTGATATTTTCCTTCTCATTGGCTTTTTTTCTATCTACTAAGTCAATACCTCATTTTTGGTGCTTATGTTTATTACAATGAAAGAATTTGATTCCATCACTTTAAGAAGTATAATTAGTTCTAAAATTTTAAAATTTATTTTATTATATCTCATTTATTATTTTCAGCATTGATCTATCTCATCTGAGTCTTTCAGTTTCAAATGCAAATACCTCAAAATGTTCTACCTATAGATTTATCACTGTCTTTCTCTTTCTTTTTCCTATTTTAAAGTTTCTTCTTTTTCTCTTATTAATACTTTCTATTTATGAGCCAAGTAATCAAGCAAATGATCAAATAAATAAGCAAAAAAATTCTTAATTTTAGCTACATTTGGATCACAATGCTTAGGCAAGCAATGATGAATCTTATGAACCAAATCATTGTTTTTTTATATATCGTAACTAATTGGTACAATAAATTAATAATCTTCATAACCATGTATGTATATTACTAATAAACTCACTAGATTTCATGTAAAATAATTTAAATATTGACTAGTTATTATAAGTTTATATCCAATATCCTTAATAATTTCAAGCAATAATACTCTCATATAATCATTAAACTTAAAAACATAATTTAAATCCCTCAAGGACTTGTAGTTTAGTTTATGGAGTTCTAATTTGGCTAAAAATTAATTTTAAAACTAGCTCCTCAACGTTTACTCTATTTATTAATATACTAAGAGCTTTATATTGTAACACTAACAATTTGCAAGTTATGGCTCTTATCCTCTTAAAATTGACAAATGCAATTTTTCTAATAATCAAATAGAATAATATTTAAAAATGATGACTTGGTGATAAAGTAACATTAGATGTTGTTCAAAAGAATTTTGTGTGCTATAGTGAGTGGATTTGTTCTTGACGATTAAAGTAAGAAAGATAGTTGAGGCTCTGATATCAATTAAAGTGTATGATATAACTAAGAGAGTAGTGAATATTTCTTATTAAAACTATTTAAAATCACATAAATTTAATAGTGCGTGAAATTATAGACTTAATTTTCAAGAAAATAAATTTTAAAAAATATAACATTAGATACAAATTAACCAAAAAAAGTAAATAAAAAAAATTTTACAAGCTTAAGCCTCTAATTAAGTCTTCACCAAGATTTACACTAATTGGGATTCTACTATTTTTATTGTATTGCAGATACATTCCCTTCTTTTTTGACTAAAGAAAGCATTTATATTCTTTTATTGACAAGAGCAATCCAAAAATTAAGTTTACAAAAATATTAGAATTTAAATGCAAATTTTTCTTACAAAAATTGTTAAGAAAAAAGTAAGAAAAAATTTAAGATTTTACTATTTTATCTAAACAAAAGCATAGCAAAGAAAATTGAAACTTAGGAAGAGTGATTATATAGACATAATGATCACTAAAAAATTTCAAAAATACTTGTAAATATTATGGAGTAATTTGGATCAACTATAAAATTTTATTTGAAGAAAAGATGCTACTTTAAAGAGACTTTAATAGAGAAGTTTAAGAAGATTTTATAATTTATCATTTTACCTCGAACTCACCAAACTATTTCTTATCACATAATAAGATTTTACAAGTATTTCATTTTATTTCTAGCTAGTCAAAATATTTCTTATTTATATCATCTCAAAATACGACTAAAATAATTAATAAAAAAATCTTAAATACTCTCCAAATGGCTCGTCAAAAAGGCTACAATATCTAATTAAAATAGTCCAAACTAATCACTAATATTTCAAAAATCATAATAAATTTAATTTTAATAAATATTATGTCATATAAACTATCAAATCATATCTAAAGAATCTAGTGTATTTAATGAAACAAAAATTTCTTTAAATTTTGTATTCACAAAATAAAATTTTCTATCATGCCAATTTTCTAAATTTATGCAAACTTTTAAATAAATTTCAAAACATTGAAATAGTTTATATAAAAACACTTGTGTGTCAAGAATTATTATAAAAACTCTCAAGCAAAATAAAAATTAAGTATATTAAATAATTGAAATTTTTTTTATTTTTAATCCACATGCTTGTGCATTATTATATTATTTTGATAAATTTAATGTTGTGCAGAAAGTATATAAATGATCTGAACTTATCATAATAAAAAGCACTTAAATAAAAAATCTTATGGATATATAACTATTTTAATAAATTTAATAACTCATTAATTCATATAAAGCAAATTAAGGGATTAGGAATTTCAAAATCATCGCAATTTATTATTATTTTAAATAGTTTTAAAAGCAAATTTTCTTAAATTTTTAATAAATATCATAATTACAAATAATTTATAAATTTATTTAAATTAATAAATTTCTTTTTATAAACATTTGTTCTTGAGCTATTACTTTACAATTAAATACTTAATAACTTTAAGAGCTCTTTAGAACTTAAAAAAATGTTAGTGCACTTCATTTGTTCCTTTTTATAATCTCCTAAATTTCATATTAATTTTTAATTTTGTTTAACTTCCTATTTGATTGATATTGCTTGAAGTCCCAAATTTGTGTTATCATTTAATCTTATACTCACTAAATAACTAGAACATGTAAATTCATATATTTTATCATAAAAACAAATTCATGAGCATCATGTACTCATATAGATTCAATTGGTATTGGATAAAGAGATCATGGTATCCCTATTAAATCAAGCCCTTAATTTTCTCCTTCATTTGCTTGCATGACTTGGTTGAATCAGCTTAAGTGGAAGTGGAAGTAATGATCCTCATTTAGTAAGTTCAATTATAATGGTTTTTGTCACTTAGGGTCTGTTTGGGACAGCTGCAGCTTATTGGATAATCTGATGATAAGCTGATTAAAAATAATTTGCTGATAAGTTAGGTGCGGTAGCTATTACAAATTTTTATTTTTTTTGGAAAAGCGAAAGTTGTCACCGCACCTAGATATATGCGATATGAAAACGATATTTTCAGCGTTTTGAAAACGCATAAACTGCCAAAACGCAGTTTACCAAACAGGTCAGGTGCGTTTTCAAAACGCTAACACACCAATAAGCTGCCCCAAACGGACCCTTAGTCATATCCCCATCTAGAGTGGTTATTAAAATTTTAATACGGGATTTGAGAGTACATATACTCCTTTTGTTCCAACTCACAACTCACATTATTATTGAGGTAGTTAAAGTGGGA